GGTAACATTTCTCTATGTATGTGTAACGTTACACTTCGCATAGATGCCTTGAGCTCCCAAAGCTGGAGGACCCGGCCTGGTAACAGCCACATGAGGCCAACCGATCAACAGGAGACAGTTACTATAACACAGATATAATTTCCAAATTTTGTCATAGGTAGGATTTGAACCTTAGACCTGCTACTTGGAGGATGACAACCCAACCACTACACTAGGATCGCCATCCTCTTATACATATTTATTATATATAATAATATAAATAATTTTAAATACTTATTTAGAATCGTAAGCCTAATAATAATTCAGACGATGATATTGTTACAGATTTGAGAAACAAAAATTTTATTCCTAAAACTTTAAATCTATCTTTACTCAAAACATCAATTGCAAAAATGTCTTAAAAATTCGTAAAGAAAATCATTGCATAATTCATAATCGACCATGTTTAAATAAAGATGGAGTTAAAAAAAATCATGTTAAAATTACTTTCATGATGCTTTCAATTTGGACATTTGAAATTGTAAGTATATAACCAACTTTTACAATATATAATTTATTTTATATTATAATTGATTTTAAACATATATAGAATAAAGCAATGGCATCATCAACAGAACTGCCTATACATTTTTTGTTTGCATATAAATATTTAACAAAAACAAAAGTGTTATCACAATTGCAATCTAGTTCTATACAATTTAATCAATCTAATTTGATGCAACAACCCAATCTAATGCAACAATCTGATTTGATGCAACAGTCTAATTCGATACAACAACTCAATTCAATACAATAATCTGATTTAATACAACAATCTAATTTGATACAACAACCCAATCTAATACAACAATTCAATTTAATGCAACAACCTAATTCGATACAACAATCTAATATAATGCAACAACCTAATTCAATACAACAATCTAATATAATACAACAAGCTAATCTAATGCAACAAGCTAACTTAATGCAACAACCTAATTTTATTCAATCTTCACTTTTTTCAGGTCAACATTATATGTCATCTTTATTTTATAATCCATTTTTAACATATATTCTTTTACAAACTTACAAAACATCTTTTCAAATGCCAATTCAATTATCTTTACAACAAATATTACCTACAATCAAAAATTTTTTAAAAAATATAGATAAAAATGAAGATACTGAAGATTATTATAAGAAATTTTTATTAAAATTTAAACAACAAAAAATTTCTGTATTACTACTTTCTGAATTATCAAATAAAGACTTTGAAAAATGTGAAGTAGATACTATTGGTGTACACCAAACTCTTCATAAATATGCTGCAAAGTATAATGCATTATCATAACAAATTGTAAGTTAAATAAATATTTATTTATAACCTGCTATATTAAAGAAATTATTAGAGTATAAGGGGGTAATTTGAGAGCATGCAGCTAATAATGGATATATAGGGTCTAAACAGCTTTCTACAAAATACTGATGTTGTCTTAAATAATTTTTTATACATGAAAAAGCTAATTATATTGGGTTGAGATCAGGCAAATAAGGAGGAAGAAACTCTATATGTACTTCAAATGCATTTAAATATTCAAGCAATCCATTATTATGATGGATTTTTGCATTATCAAGTACTAAAATACTTTGTTCATGTGGAAATGAATTCATTTGAGGCAGCTAAAAATAATTAAAAAAATTGTTTAAAAAATATATATATATATATATTGTATACAAATATTATAATATATTTTATATATATATTTCAATATGTACTACTTGAGAAATTACAAATTCTTTAAATTGCTCTTTTGTGCAACTACCCTCTATAATATCAACAGCAATTATACCATCTAAGGTTAATGCAGACAAAAGTGTGTAATGCTTACTATGTAGAAACACTACTTTTTTGATAGCCCTTGTATTAATTTCAGAATAACTATATTTTTGAGAAATAGTTTGTTTATCTTTAGATGATTCATTCAGAAAAATTAATTAGTTACTTTTATATTAAGAACCAATACGGGCCATAAAGGCACTGCGAAGTAATTCATTGCATTCTTTTGCTGCTTTATACAACTGAAATAAAAATTAAATAAAAATTAAATTTTATTTATATTAATTTATATAATTAAATAAAATAAATACTTTTTTTTATATTATTTCACAATAAGCTAATGAATGCCAAATAGTAGAAATTGAGACATTTTTGCTACATCGAATTTCTATTTATTCAACAATTTTGTCAAGATACATATATGAATTTTCTTGGACAATATTTCATAATATCTATTATATAATATATAGTATAAATTAATTAATACTATATATATAACAAATATTTTACACCTACATTTATATTATTTCGATTAAAAGTTTTATACTGTCCAGGTACTTGTTTTCATGGATTTGCTACAGTTTTTTATTTTTTATATAACTGTAACACTTTCTTTACCAAACCTTTACTAATATAAAGAAAATTTGTAATTTGTGATATTGAATAATTATAATAATATAAAAAAATTATATGCCATTTCAAGTCATCACTATATGCAGGAGGCATGTTAACGAAGATTTTTTTGAATTAAAATATAAATATAATAATTATATAAGTGATACAGAAAAAAAGCCTGAAAGCAAATATTTGTTTTCATTGTATACTATATAATTTATTATTTTCAATTAAATTTTCATTGTACATTACGTAATTTATTATGTTTTGATAAATTATCTAATATAGCTAACATATGTTTATTGTATTATTGAAATTACAATCATATTAATACTATTACATATTGTATGTTCATAATATATCAAAAATCTTTAGGATTCTCTAAGAATCGAAAAATCAACTAGAATCAGCTAATTTTTCATGATTTCATATAATATAATGATCTGCAAAGGTTACACCTTTTTGCAAACTGCTATAAATTGTATCTAAACAAGTTTTCTAACATGTGTTAACAGGTTAAATTAAGATGATTGTATTTGGCTAGCTTAGTAAAATCGATTCTTCAATATAATGTTCTTGAAAAAAATTAATAATCTGTTTTATATAATTGATTAATTTCTCAATTCAATCAAGTTTAAGTATATTCTTAATTAGAAAATTTCTAATATGCATATTACAGTTTAAACAAATTAATTAAGAGTAATTTTTATTTAGCAACTTTCAAACTGCTTGTATAGAACTTGCATTATCTGTTAAAATACCAGCAAACTTAAAGAAACCAATA